ATAAACCAGAGTCAAAAATAGGTTATGGTGACAGAGAAGCCTAGTGTTGTATCATCCCCAGTTTGATAAATACGTTTATTGTATACACTGAAGACCCCTGTAGCTCAGTTGTTAGAGCATGGCGCTTGCAACGCCAGGGTTGTGGGTTCGTTTCCCACAGGGGGCCATTTTGAAAATGTATGCACTCACTAACTGTAAGTCGCTCTGGATAAGAGCGTCTGCTAAATGACTCAAATGTAAGACACAAAATTGCTCATAATCACTACATTCACTGACTTAGGCCCAAACAATTATTATAAATGATTTTACTTAGATGTACTTCTATGTGCTTTAGTGCTCTCTAGTGTTTAAATTATGCAATTTTTTAATCAGATACATTAGATTCCTCTCACCTTTTTAGTGCTGGCTAGGTGGGTCTTCTCTCTGATTTGACTATCAGGCACTTGTTGATGTCCAGGTCTGGATCAGTCAACCCTACCCTCCCAATTAAGAAAAGGACAGTTGGTTACTTACATCTCCCAATCTCATCCCTGATTAAGAAGAGAGTAGTGCAGGATAATTATTCCCAAAAAATATAAAGTATTTACATCAGGGGTGTCAGAAAATATACAGTATTTACATCAGGGTTGTCAGAAAATATACAGTATTTACATCAGGGGTGTCAGAAAAGATACAGTATTTACATCAGGGGTGTCAGAAAAGATACAGTATTTACATCAGGGGTGTCAGAAAAGATACAGTATTTACATCAGGGGTGTCAGAAAAGATACAGTATTTACATCAGGGGTGTCAGAAAAGATACAGTATTTACATCAGGGGTGTCAGAAAAGATACAGTATTTACATCAGGGGTGTCAAACTCATTATATCCCAGGGCCGCATTCGGTCTTCAACAAGGTCCGGCGCCGCACTGAAAATGTCTTATATTTCCTCACCGTCAAAATTGGCCAAAGATACCATCCATCGTTTTTAGAACCGGTATAAATGTAGGTCCATTATCATTTCTACACGGTTTGGATTTGGCTTTAGTCATGTTTAAGTATATTGGGAAGGTTGTGGTGATTACCACGTGGAGTGGAGAAATACCAACAAGTAGGGTACTGACATATGAAAAAAATATACACTACATATACAAAAGTATGTGGACACGCCTTCAAATTAGCTATTTCAGTACATTGGCAGTAGAATGGCCTGTACTGGAGTGACCTTTAACGTGGCACCTTATGCCACCTTTCCAACAAGTCAGTTAATCTAATTTATGCCCTGCTAGAGCTGCCCTGGTCAACTGTAAATGCTGTTATTGTGAAGTGGAAATGTCTAGGAGCAACAACGGCTCAGCCACGAAGTGGTAGGCCACACAAGCAGAGTGGCATAGGCTAAGATGCAATAGATAGTATAGAATACAGTATATACATATGAGATGGGTAATGCAAGATATGAAAACATTATTAAAGTGGCATTATTAAAGTGACTGTTTAACAGTCTGATGGTCTTGAGATAGAAGCTGTTTTTCAGTCTCTCGGTCCCAGCTTTGATGCACCTGTACTGACCTCGCCTTCTGGATGATAGCAGGGTGAACAGGCAGTGGCTCGGGTGGTAGTTGTCCTTGATTTTTTGTGTGGCCTTCCTGTGACATCGGGTGCTGTAGGTGTCCTGGAGGGCAGGTAGTTTGCCCCCGGTGATGCGTTGTGCAGACCGCACAACCCTCTGGAGAGCCCTGCGGTTGTGGGCGGTGCAGTTGCCCTACCAGGCGGTGATACAGCCCGACAGGATGCTCTCAATTGGAACGCCGACTGCGAGCCAGGCCTAATCGCCCAACATTAGTGCCCAACCTCACTAATGCTCTTGTGTTGCTGAATGGAAGCAAGTTCCCTCAGCAATGTTCCAACATCTAGTGGAAAGCCTTCCCAAAAGAGTGGAGGCTGTTATAGCAGCAAAGGGGGGGCAACTCCATATTAATGCCCATGATTTTGGAATGAGATGTTTGTCGAGTAGGTGTCTACATACTTTTGGACGGTGCCATGTTGAAAGTCACTGAGCTCTTCAGTAAGGCCATTCTATTGCCAATGTTTGTCTATGGAGATTGCATGGCTGTGTGCTCAATTTTATATACCTGTCAGCAACGGGTGTGGTTGAAATGGCCTAATCCACTAATTTGAAGTGGTGTCCACATACTTTGGTATATATAGTGTAGATTTTTTAAATACAGACAAACTAAAAAAGTTCAACTTTACAAATTATTCAATGGATTATGATCATTTGCTGGTAAAAACGTGGAGGTGCAAAAACAGACGTTTCCACCCCCTATTTTAATTTGATCCATGGCTCAGGCAGCCAATTGTAGGCTAATGCGAAAAGCTGTTTGGCTCAGCCAAAGATCATCTATTATATTGCTCAGCTTAGTTGCGACTGGCGAAGAAGAAGAACTTTGCAGGTCTTTCTGATGAATAAACAATGCCATTCAAATAAAACCCAGCCCTGAAAAGTATTAGCAGGTCATATCATAGCGGAAACACACAGGCTTTGGCAAGGAACATTTCCAAAGTTACCACCTTGGATTTCCCACTTCAACCCCAAATATATCATACTTTGACTAAAACTATGACTTATTGACTTAAATCGTTGTGCAAAATCATCGGTAAGCTATGGGCATCGTCTTTCAGCTGAAAGAAAGTGAATTTCTGATCATGTGGGAGTTTAAAACTGCAAAATGATTAGAATTGCATTCAATTTGTAAAAACATTTCAGAATGTTCTTTCCACCCCATGGCAAAATGTGTAGAATTGCAGGAAATGAACTTTAAAAATGTAAATTTTTCTATCTGCTGTGATGAGAGGGGGCACTAAAATGTTTTGCAGCGAGGTGAGGCGCCCCTGAACCACATCTCGCTTAGGGCCCCCAAAAGGCTAGAACCGGCCCTGCCTGTCAGAAATATATGACTGGAGATGTCAGATCATTAACCCACACCCTGTTTGGCGATTGGACCACTTTCAATAAGATCTCAGTCATACACAAAGACATCCGTGTGGAGGCTGCTACTTTATATTTATTACATAAACACTATTTACACATTTCAAGAATACATGCTACAGAACTCAAGATCTACAGCTCCTAACAAACAATACAAACATCTGTAACTCTCCAGAACAACAAAAATAAATACCTGTTGACGAGCAAAAATGTCAGACCAGGCTATAAACACTGAGAAAAGATTCAAGTTTTGAATTCAGCCATTTCAATACAAGTTCTTTATAACTACGCAACTGATTGTGCAGCAGATTCTTGTCCTGGTACTGCTACAAGCTCCCTTTGATTTGTGCTTCTAAGCAGCAGTGATTTAACACCTAAACACATGGAAAAGGGCTTTAAAAGTTCTGAGTTATAACTTTTATTTTTATCTAGTCATAATATATTTGCAGTTTTTAACACCTGAAGTTTCCTACTCATCTACGAATATGAGCTGTGTACATGTTATACCCCCTTATACAATTCAATGAAAATCTAAGCTAAGGCTCTCAGTCTACATAATGCAATGTGCATTTATGGTTTAAATGACACTGGTATGCCTATGTCCTGCATAGTGCACAAAATCAGCTAGTATCTATGCTGAAATATGTACAGCTAAAAGCTTGTTTATTTTCTCGGCCACATTATAACAGGCAGTTGTAAAACAATTGGCCATTATCTATGTTTTTGATTTATAATCCAACTTTTAATTCCCACACCAAGTCAATGCCATCCATTGTAATGATAATACTGATATTTCTCCATAGTGAGGTTCATGATCAGAAAATTTAGAATTGGTATTCTCTGCATTAATTTGATGGGGATGTGCTGACTTTTGTAATTGATTAATGTGTTTTCTAGAGTGGGCTTGTCATTGTGTTAGTCAATTGGTGTGATCTTATAGTGGTGAAAAGTTGTTTACTACTAAACATTCCGTTCAGAGCATGAACATTTTTAACCAAAACACTGTCTAAACTAACAAAAGCACAGGCTCACGATGCTCTCAAGTGTACACACAGTAATGCCACACTCAGATATGTACACTTACACATAAACAAAGCCTTCAGTACCATGGTACATTGACACATCTTTAGTACACACAAACTAGTGACCACAGTAACAATATCTACATTCAATGTCTCTCACACACTATACATTAAGGCATGAGGTGTCTTCTTCGATGCAGTGCATCAGAAGATGAGGGTTCATTGAGATATCAACTCAAATGCATTTCAACCACAGCATGTAAATGCGGATTGTCAAGTGGAATGGATGAAACTGAAAAAAAGGAACTGAATCAAAACATAAATAGTCTAAGGGTACATTTGATCAATACAATATCTCAAAGTGAGACAGTGGTTAATTTATGCAACATTTAACATTCTGAAAATAGAGGAAGTTCAACAATTTGACAAAACACAACAAAACCATTTTACAGTGTAACAATTCCAACACAATGAATAATTTCACTATTTGGCAAAAACAGAACATTGACCACTAAATCAAGCCTACGTACTCTGATGTTCAGTGCAATACAGGATGATCCAAGTGATTATGAGTTGGGATGGTATGCCAAGTGATTTATCATTTTACGAGATAAATATATCAATCCTGCCCTTTTCAATTAGATTATAGCAACAAATCACATACAAACTTTAATCTAAAAATGTAAAGCTACTGCCTTGTGATCCTGTACTGCCATAATCAATACCTTAAATTACAGATTAAAAATCTATATCAGCCTTGTACATGCAGTCTATTTGTATAATTGAGCATTTAAACAACATTTTGAGTTATCATGTTAGATTGGTAAGTGTATTCATGGCATTTAAATGACTGTAAAGCTCATTTTAGGGATGTCATAAGGGATGTAGGCTATAATTTCTAAGTGCATGAAGGAGAACAATATCCTACAAGTATCCTACATTATCTTACAAAAAACTGTCTACAATCTATTATTATATATATATATATATATAAAACAAGTAAATTCTTGACAATACTGTATATTGACTGGGAGGGTGCTCCAGGTCATATTTTAATTCTCAAGCTGTAGTGCCACTTCTTTTGATCTCAAAGCAGTTTGCCTGCATACCGTGCATGTAACCAGAGGTCAGCACAAGCATTGGAGAAATGTGAAAATAACTATCCATAAAACAAGCAAAAATCTAGTAGACTATCACACCTTACAACAAATTGCCCAAATAGCACAAAACAAGTTTTGTTATTATTTCTGGCCACCACCGGCATTTCATAGTAATTCCAGGGCACTGCAATGGGGACAACTTCATGTAATGTGTTGCTAGAAATCGGTAATCCACTTTTGATATACACCTACTGTAAATACTCACAATAATGAATGAGCACCATGCTTATAAATCCAAACAATACTGTGGGTTGTCTTTGGTGAAATGACAACAGGGAGATAAACATCCTCTTCAGATATCTCTTCAGTGTACACTAAGGATTTCAATTAATCTTCCTATCAACTTGTCTTGTAGTGCTGTTATTTTTCTCATCCTATGATCATCTCTACAAGCCCATTTAGATAGTTTGAAGCTTATGTCAGACACCTGTGAGTCCAGTACTGTAGTGGCCTCGGTGCTCTTCTCATCAGCATGCTGATACATACAGGTGGCGCTCTCACCTCTCTTGAGAAGAGTCCAATAGCAGAGTGTGAGGAGGAATTTATAGATGAATGACGAGACCCAGTCTCCTGTATGTGTACGTCTGAAACAACCAATGACATGCAATCACAGGGATACCCTATAAGCATAATGTCAAACTTCTAAAAGGCAAGGTCATTCCCATTACAGACAGACAAGCCGAAGACGCCACCGTCCAAGAGGGGAACTGCTGTACATGTGGATTCTCCAAGTCCAAGAGTTGGCCTATTGGTTTCTGAAATGCACCAGATCCATTGCTATAATGTGAATGACAATGGTCTGGTTGATAGTGGCATTCACCATAAAGCTGTGGGATTCAAGATACGTGGATAAATATATCAGACTGTCCTGATAAGGTACAATTGCAGATTTTAAGGAGAAGGAAACTTGGTAGTGCAAAGCTATTCCATTGTTGCAACACATAGTGGTGAGCTTTGTTTGTGTTTGTTGGCGTTTCAAAAGCAAATCCTGAACAATACTCTGTGATTCAGGTTCTCTTGCATCTTGTCAAAAGACGAATGTGGCCGTGTAAAAGAAAGCCATACGTCACAAGAACACAGGGGTCGTGTATAGACTCACATCAACGTCAGCTGTGCAAGTTGTACAGAAAAATGCAATATACAATAACTGTACAAAAGAGGACAGGAGTCAAATCTCCGCTATCTTCATTTAAATTGTAATTCTGTACAGATTTAAAGAGGTTTCCAGTAGGCAGATGATCTAAGGGGATGTCCTATATGACATGAATAGATTAATCTTGATGCAGACCTAATGCATTTTGTTGATATTTCTGGTTGAGTGGTTATAATTGTACTGTACACATCCTGGTTTGGTAGATTGTGCAAACACTTAAGGGCAAGAAAGTGTTCTATCGCTGAGACTTGATTTCTGTGTTGGTTTGCTGGTCATTGGTCTTTGCTATGTCTGTTGCAGCTGATAAGCACTTGGTTGTCAATTCAAGTCAGTCAATGGTTATCATGAGCTTAGGATCACAGTTCTATCCCTTTAAGCAAAGCCCCCTCATAACTTTCTCAGTTCTCCCCCTGGTGGTGTATGCAGGAATATCAACAACATATTGAGCAGTCACCAGCACCAACATCTACCTTGTCTTGTTCATAAGGTTTAAGTCATTGATCTTTAAGGTTTGAGCTTCATTGTCTTTGCATGGATATGCTAACACAAAAAGCAAGAGACTCATTTCGTTCATTACCCGATTTAGCTGACCCTGCAAACCTGGGGGTGTGTAGCTTGGCTGCAGATGCAAAACAGAAATGAGGGAGGGAGGGCCCGAATGAGTAGCCCTAGAGTCTGGCCGACAGTGCCGATTCTCCACTTTCCCAAGTGATCCCTACAGAGGGCCTTGTCTGTACCCTAAGTGCCAATCAGATGACAGCATTGGAACCAGAAGAGGTGGAGTTGGCAGAGGGAGAAGAGGGAAAGTTCCAGAAGAGCCACTTGCGTTTACACTGCCTCCTCTGGTACAGGTAGTCCTCCTTGTCCCGCTCCTTCCTTGCTCTCTGGTAGTGGTCGTCCTCCTTCAGGAACCACACTGGTGGCCAGCGGTGCTTCTCAAAGTAGTCCTGGTTGTCTGCAAGAGGCATGGCTCAACAGCTTTAGTAACATCAAATGCAGACAGATGTGCAAACACAAATGCTTCATATAATGATAACTTCTCTACAAATCCTGCATTGATGTAAATGGGAGATTCAAATGAAAGTTGTAGTTTCACGCACATACAGGTCTCTTTAGTTAGTATTTGACTTGCATTACCTGTAGACGTGGCCTTCATGTCTCGAGGAAACTTGCGGCACACACTATTATAGTTGGTGCAGATGTGGTGAAGGCACCAGCCAGTTAGCTGTTGGGCACAATGGAACTGCCAGAGAGACACAAGATATTATCGAAGGCCTTATTCCATACGTGATAACCTTTTACATTTAAAAGTGTAACACTTGTTAAAGAACTTAGCATTAGAAATAGAAACATTTGTGAGATTGGAGAAAAACAGTATAAAAAATATAAACACTCTTGGAATTGCAATAGGAACAAGGCCTCGATCTTACCTGAGCCATCTCCAGGTATAACAGCACATCTCCATCAATATCAGCCCCCATCATAGCAGCCTCCATCAGGACTGTCACTGTATAGAGTTCTGAAACAGAGGCATAACACGCAGGGTATCCCAAATGGTCCACCCACGCAGAAAGTGTGGTGAAGAAGGCGCAACAGAGCCTCTTCAACCTCAGGAGGCTGAATAAATTTGACTTGGCACCTAAACCCTCACAAACGTTTACAGAAGCACAATTGAGAGCATCCTGTCGGGCTGTATCACCGCCTGGTACGGCAACTGCACCGCCCGCAACCGCAGGGCTCTCCCGAGGGCGGTGTGGTCTGCCGAACGCATTACCGGGGGCAAACTACCCGCCCTCCAGGATGGCCAAAAAGATCATCAAGGACATCAACCACCCGAGCCACTGCCTGTTCACCCCGCTATCATCCAGAAGGCGAGGTCAGTACAGGTGCATCAAAGTTGGGACCGAGAGAATGAAAAACAGCTTCTATCTCAAGGCCATCAGACTGTTAAATAGCCATCACTAGCACATTAGAGGCTGCTGCTGCCTATTGAAATCACTGGCCACTTTAAGAAATGGAACACTAGTCACTTTAATAATGTTTACATATCTTGCATTACTCATCTCATATGTATATACTGTATTCTATAATATTCTACTGTATCTTAGTCCATGCCGCTCTGTCATTGCTTGTCCATATATGTATCTATTCTTAAATTCCATTCCTTACTTAGATGTGTGTATTGGGTATATGTTGTGAAATTGTTAGATATTACTTGTTAGATATTACTGCACTGTCGGAGCTAGAAGCACAAGCATTTCGCTACACCGGCAATAACATCTGCTAAACATGTGTATGTGACAAATACATTTTGATTTGATCAACAGAATAATAATAATTTGCAGTAATTCTGATAATACCGCCATTCAAGGTCTGATGTATAAACATGCTGATACTACTGTGTACAGGTCAGAGATTCAAAGGTTTGTCAAGTGGTGTGATGATCACCATCTCATCCATAATGTAAAGAAAACAGAGAAGATAGTGTTTGACCCCAAATCTGTTGGTGACCATGTGCCTGTGGTTGTCCACAATGCCAACATAGCCCAGGTTAGTTGGTACAGGTACCTGGGTGTATATATGGACAATGTGCTGAGCTGGAGGGTCCAAGTAGAGAGTGTCTGCTCCAGAGTCCAACAACACCTCTACTTCCTATGTAGACTCAGGCTTTTTGGAGTTGGCCAGAAAATAATGCTCCTGATCTACCACGCGGTCATAGAGATGGCATCACAGTCTGGTTTGGCAATTAATCAGTTCAACTGAAATCTCAAATAGCCCGCCTGATACAAACTGCCATGAAGGTCATGGGTGTGAGGCAGCATAATTTCAGATCCCTCACATGTACTTCACTCTGAGTATCAACTCCTCCCTTCAGGCAGACGCTATAGGGTCCCTACATGTAAGCTGAACCTTAAACCTGAGCTATGTTAGTACACCACTGACAGAATATAAGGGAATGTGCAATGTATTATTTATTTGGCTATATGAGAAGTGTACAAGGTGTATGATAAGGGTAACATGTAGTGTATATATTATGTTGAGTGTGTAATGTACAGTGTCTATTTTGTTTACAGCGGTAATGTGTCTAAGACAATTATTCCCTTGGGGACATAAATATAAAAAACCCACAGTCTGTCACTATGCACATTGCCAAATCTAACTCGCAACAGAATTATTAAAGTAACAGAAACAGACAGTTCTCTCAACACACATACAGTGCATTCGGAAAGTATTCAGACCCCTTGACTTTTTCCACATTTTGTTAGGTTACAGCCTAATTCTAAAATGAATTACATTTGTTTTGTTTTACATTTACATTACAGTAATTTAGCAGACACTCTTATCCAGAGTGACTTACAGTTAGTGAGTGCACACAGTTCTCTCTTCAATCTATACACAATGACCCATAATGACAAACAAAAAGAGTTTTCTTTTTTTTTTTTTTTTTTTTTACATTTTAGCTAATTTAGACCATTTACTCAGTACTTTGTTGAAGCACCTTTGGCAGCGATTACAGCCTCAAGTCTTCTTGGGTATGATGCTACAAGCTTGGCACACCTGTATTTGGGAAGTTTCTCCCAATCTTCTCTGCAGATCCTTTCAAGCTCTGTCAGGTTGGATGGGGAGCGTCACTGCACAGCTATTTTAAGGTCTCTCCAGAGATGTTCGATCGGGTTCAAGTCTGGGCTCTGGCTGGGCCACTCAAGGACATTCAGAGACTTGTCCCGAAGCCACTCCTGCGTTGTCTTGGCTGTGCTTAGGGTCGTTGTCCTATTGGAAGGTGAACCGTCGCCCCAGTCTGAGGTCCTGAGTGCTCTGGAGCAGGTTTTCATTAAGGATCTCTGTACTTTTCTCCTTTCATCTTTGCCTAGATCCTGACTAGTCTCCCAGTCCCTGCCGCTGAAAAATATCCCCACAGCATGATGCTGCCACCACCATGCTTCACCGTAGGGATGGTGCCAGGTTTCCTCCAGACTGTGGGGTTCAAGATACAGGTTTCATCAGACCAGAGAATCTTGTTTCTCTCTTTAGGTGCCTTTTGGCAAACTCCAAGAGGGCTGTCATGTGCCTTTTACTGAGGAGTGGCTTCCGTCTGGCCACTCTACCATAAAGGCCAGATTGGTGGAGTGCTGCAGAGATGGTTGTCCTTCTGGAAGGTTCTTCCATCTGCACAGAAGAACTCTGGAGCGCTCTCAGATTGACCATCGGGTTCTTGGTCACCTCCCTGACCAAGGCCCTTCTCCCCCAATTGCTCAGTTTGGCCGGGCGGCCAACTCCAGGAAGATTCTTGGTGGTTCCAAACTTCTTCCATTTAAGAATAATGGAGGCCACTGTGTTCTTGGGGACCTTCAAGGCTGAAGAAATGTTTTGGTACCCTTCCACAGATCTGTGCCGAGACACAATCCTGTCTCGGAGCTCTATGGACAATTCCTTCGACCTCATGGCTTGGTTTTTGCTCTGACATGCACTGTCAACTGTGGGACCTTATATAGACAGGTGTGTGCCTTTCCAAATCATGTCCAATCAATTGAATTTACTCCAATCAAGTTGTAGAAACATCTCAAGGATGATCAACGGAAACAGGATGCACCTGATCTAAATTTTGAGTCTCATAGCAAAGGTTCTAAATACTTACGTAAATAAGGTATTTCTGTTTTTTGCTTTTAATAAATTAGCAAAAATTGTGTCATTATGTGGTACTGTGTGTAGATTGCTGAGGAAATTGTTTTATTTAATACATTTTAGAATAAGGCTGTAATGTAGCAAAATGTGGAAAAAGTCAAGGGGTCTGAATACTTTCCAAAGGCACCGTCCTAGCCTAATAGACACTATGAAGAGAAGGAAAAAGAGAGTAAGTGTGTGTTAAACTATAGACTAGTCAATTGGTAGAGCATGGCGCTTGTAATGCCAGGGTAGTGGGTTCGATCCCCGGGACCACCCATACGTAAAAATGTATGCACACAAGACTGTAAGTCGCTTTGGATAAAAGCGTCTGCTAAACGGCATATTATTATTATTATTATTATTGTGTATGAGGGTGTGCTCAAAAACAACTAGATACCTGTTAGTGCAACTAGGTGTGGGAGGCAAAGACGGTTGGCAAGAACAATGAGCTCCATGGCATCCAGGTCAGTGCGGGAACAGAAGCGCCCAGTGTACAGGTACTCCAGCACAGCCCTCATACAGCTGCGAGTAGTGTTAGGAAACAGCACCTGAGACAACAACAGGCACAGATCGACATCATTTTTCCCGTTCCTGTTCACTAGTGCATTCTACTGTGATCTTGTGTGTTTGGTTATTTAGGTTGGCTATTTAGGCGACTTTCAGAAGGTCTTGTTATTGTGCACATGACCAAGACCAAGGTTTTATAAAATAAAATATAGTGGCACACTCTGTAACTCCAGCGAGACGGTGTAAAGGATCGACTTACTTCTTTGGTGCAGCTCTCCACAAAGGGCCCCCCAAACATAGCTGCCATCCAGTCACAGCTGGAGATGAGCAGGGGCTTATGGGCCATGATCGTTCCATCATCCAGCTTGAACACTACATCTGGAACACAAAGAGAAATCATACTTCTCCTTCTTCCTCTATTACTACAAGTCCTGTCAAAAGTTTACCTTGTTTTTTTAACAGCATGTTCTTCCCCATCCTCAGACCTCTATATCCCAGAGGAGAAACACTTAGGACAGAGTGTACAAAAGCCCTCAGTATTATGATGTGCTCTCACCAGAGAAGGTGCCTTTGGCCAGGCACTCTTTGACTCTGTTGGTGCGCCGTACATGAAAGGCTTTGGTGATTTCCTGGTTCATGAAGGCCTCGTTGTTAAGGACGTTGGCCACCATCATGCGCAGGTCAAAGACCTCCAGCAGCTCAGCAATGTGTGCGATGTGCATCAGCTCCTTCTCGTGCTCATCCATCTGGCCTGTGTAAAGGTAGCGCAGCACAGCGCGGAAGGGCCCCAGCTGCATGGACTGGTCCATGTGCACCACGGTCATAGGCCTGGGGCTGTAGGTCACTGGGTCATCCACCAGCTCCTCCTGGATGCTGACAAAAGCCCTGCTCCAGGTAGACAGCAGTCTGCCCCTCCGGCCCCCCTCAGAGTCCCTCAGGGTGCCGTCACTGGTGCAGGCCCGCAGGTTGGCCCTGTCGCCCTCGTCAGGGCTCTCACACACATCGAAGCTGGCAGCACGCATCAGCATCTCGCGGCCAGACAGAGCAGTGGTGCGTGGGGGCCGCTCAGCCTCCTCAGACCGGGCATCCAGGATGAAGAGGTCATAGAACTTGGAGGAGGACGTGGCCAAGTAGATCTTGTGGGCGAAGATTCTCTGCTTCTCCTGTAGGACCAGGATGACATCGGAACACAGGGGGTCCTCTAGAAGACGGCCAGGATGCTCCTCAGTGGTGGTGGGGGGAGGTGGCACAGTGATGATGGGTGGTGGAGGTTTGGGAGGCAGGAAGGGGGCCTGGAGGAGGGACCGCTGCACGTTGCGCAGGTGAGACTTCCAGAACTGCAGGTGGCGGCGTGAGATTAGGGCGGCCCGGATGGCGTTATCAAATACGTCCTTTACTCCAAACTGAGCCACAACACTGGTCTCATAGTATGGCACTCCCAGCTCTTTGGCCACCTCACGGCCCCTCTCTGGAGGCAGAATCTCATTGTATTTAATGGGTCTGAAAGATATGACCATAAATGAGGCCAAGGTTAAGTGAGTTTAAGAACTAAATTAACATGATTCAGAGCAGCATCAACATGAGGGTAAATTACATCGTTTACTAATCTTAGCACAAAGTGGTACCTACATTTCTAATGGTGACACAGTGAATCTATCAATCACAGGCTATCAACTTTAACTTGAGATGAAAAGCACTGCTTTAGATTGAAAGCACTGGACTTAGTAGTTGTAGGGCACCTTGCTAGTGGCCGTCGTGCCCTGTTGACTGCTTCCAGGTCAGCGTAGCGCAGGTCCAGCTGGCAGCCCACCAGGATGACTGGAGCCCGGGGGCAGAAGTGCTTGATCTCAGGGTACCACATGGTCTTCACATGGTACAGGGAGTTGGGGTTTGCGATGGAGAAACACAGAACCACCACATCCGACCTGCAGTGACGAGTGGGGTTACGGGAGGGACAGAGAGGAAAGGTCCACTTAGTTTACTCTGCACCAGTTCCATGACTTGCATGAGTAAACAAGGTCAGCTGATCTCACCTTCCATATGCAAAGCGCCGGTCCTTGTGATGGTCCCCAAACGTGTCCCAGAGCCGCAGCGACACACTGACGTCATCCACCACATCCCTAGATCGCTCCAGAACCTGACCAGAGACACATCTTTCACATGCATGGATATTACCAACAACGGCAGAATGTGAAACTAACACCTGACCACAAGCCTAATGTGCTAAGCCAACGGTAAACATTGTGTGTTGCAGGTTTGTCAAAGTGCAACAACAGTTTACACAACTGTAGCACTTAAAACAGAGGATTTCAGTATTGTTTTTCTTCACCATCAAGTTGCTGGTGGACCAAACGGTTCATTTCAAACCCCATGCAGTCCATTATCTAAAACGTAGACAACTGAGAAAACAGACAAAGCTTTTCAGTAATTAACAGTCAAAACCAGATAACTCCACCACTCACCTCCTGGCAAACTCTGTACTGGTCTATGGCCCAGACAGTGGGTACATGTGTAGCAAGCAATTGGTACTGAGTGAGTGTGGCATTACAGGCCCGGGCACAGATAAGGCGGGTCTTCCCAACAGCGTTGTCCCCTACCACCACACACTTGATAGTCTCAACATTTGGCCTCTCATAGTCCATGTCAGAATCCATCAACTGGGGCCTGTCAGGGAAAAGGAAAGCAGAGTTTGATAAAATTCCAAAGGATTAATCAACTGGAGATCAAATATCACAGAGGTACTGAGGAGCTTGTTAAAAACATTGCACCTCATCACAACCCCTCTGACCCCATCAGGGATCAATACCGCAATCAAATCACATTTTATTTGTCACATGCTTCGTAAAACAATAGGTGTAGACTAACAGTGAAATGGTTACTTACGGGCCCTTCCCAACAATGCAGAGAGAAAGAAAATAGAGAAATAACAGAACACGTAATAAAACACATAATAAATACACAATGATACACGGGGTACCAGTACCGAGTCGATGTGCAGGGGTACGAGTTAATTGAGGTAGATATGTACATATAACTAGGAAATTAGTGACAATAATAAACAGTAGCAGCAGCATATGTGGTGAGTCAAAAAACGTTAGTGCAAAAAGGGTCAATGCAGATAGTCTGGGTAGCTATTTGGTTAACTATTTAACTAACTATTTAGCAGTATTATGGCTTGGTGGTAGAAGCTGTTCAGGGTAATGTTGGTTCTAGACTTGGTGTATCAGTACCGCTTGCTGTGCGGTAGCAGAGAGAACTGTCTATGACTTGGGTGGCTGGAGTGTTTGACAATTTTTATGGCCTTCCTCTGACACCACCTGGTATAGAGGTCCTGGATGGCAGGGAGCTCAGCCCAAGTGAGGTGGCTGCCTGGCTGAGTCCCTGTGCCAATTCAGAAGGTCCCTGACGTTCCTTACTCTTTTATTCCAACAGACGCTGGGGATTTCACAGTTCTGGAAGTGAAGTAGGATGTGTTCCTAAAAATAAGCACAGACTCTGCTAACTCAATTTGTCCAGCATCTGGGTTATACTCAGGCAGGATCTGCGTCTTGTCATTTTGTGTTTCCCTGTGTTTTATGCAGACTTAAATACTATGTTATACTGAAAGGAGAGGTCATTGCATTTCCCAGAACAATGTGTTATAGGATCACAATCTCTCTCCAACATAAGCCACTTTCAACATAACAAAATATAATATGATTCACATTGTTACCCCATGAGATATATCTTTGATCAAATAAAACAGACCACAGGGAGTGCTATTATGCAAGGATGCAGCTGAAATCACAGTTCCATATAAAACACTTACAACCCAAACAAATCTTTCAATAAATTCAGCTATGGTCTTACCAATAGGCCTGACAATGTCGAACAACACAGTGTTCTTTTGAACAAAAATACTCACACTGACATTGTCTCTTGATGAATTTATACAATCAATCATCTATAAGCATTATTTCATCAATAACCCCTCCTTTGCAGTGTCTTAGCAAGCCCCCCCCCCCCCCCCCCAAAAAAAAAAGATTCTAACCGTAGATCAGTCTAGGATCCAAGAAAATGAAGGTGAACATAATTAGTTCAGACAGACGGACACCCTCTATCCACAAATAAGGCTGCAATGATTCATTAAAATTGAGAGAAAAGGGTAAACAGACTACTTTCCTCACTTCACGATTCGAAAAATTGTGGTTGCTGATCTCGTTATCCAGTTTCCAAGGGAACCAGATTTTCTTCTGTGTCATACCCTGCTACCACACATGCAACGGGCTATAGATTGACAGATTATATACCTATCATAAACTCGATATACTGTAACAGGGGTATGGCAACTGAATGACCTTTACAGTGTAGACTGACAGCCACGCGCAAAAATGTAAACAATGTGGCCAGACTCGAGCCAGACTGCACCATGAGGGAAAAAAATATCATAGCATGCAAAGCCAGCTAATACACCGTGGAAAATTAAAATTTCACATATGCATGAAAGCCAAGTACTAACGTATACCAGTGTTCCTGCCTATCTGCTTCGTGATGCTGCGGTCCACAGTAGCTTTATTCGATAATAAAAATATGCATTCCCGGTACCAGCCAACCTCCGCAACTATGAGTTGCAACAATGTAACCGTTTTTGACAATGAGCGCGCGAAACTGATGACGTTGAGTTTCGACGAAATTCGAGTGTCTTCTCTGCATGACTGTCCTGCTGGTTATGTTTGGTCTCTGTGGGTTCCAATATAGGGCTAATTAATCCTCTCACTATGTAGTTAGTAGGCTATCTGTAGCCAAAATGCACGCCAATTCATATAAAATAACTTCAATATTATGTTACTGAATGGGAGAAGAAGGCTGGGATCTTGGACAGCGGCGCACACTGAATTCAGGGGTGGATTGCCAACCTACCCCTCAATGCCATTTTCTCTCGTTGGTAATGTTGGCTATTTGGCAACAGTCTGCGCTTAACAAATAGCCACGTCATCAATTATCATTCTGCAAGAACTCAACCGAGGCTACAGTGTTGCCAATTTAGCGACTTTGTCGCTATATTTAGCGAGTTTTCAGACCCCTCTAGCGACACATTTTCAAAAAAGCGACTAGCGACACAACTTGCGACTTTTTCTGGTGTTATTGGAGACTCTGACGTGAAAGCACGTATCGTTCTTACTCTTCTCAACGAGCAGCGGGTGCTTTGTTAACCCCGTCTCAAAGCACTCACAGGCGGCCCAGTCCTCGCGCAGCAGTCCCTCCCAGCTGCAGTCAGAGCAGGAGATGTTCACCCCTCCGCGTCCAGACTGCAAATGAATCGCGCATGCGGGAAGTCGCCGCTTGGCTGATCCCGCCCTGGCTTACATTCAGGGCGGGATGTAAATGTATGGTGTTTTTTACTCACTTTTTGTCTCTCCCACGACGTTATTCCTCTCTCATACAGCGTCCATCACAATTACACGCACATGGCCAATTATGCAAATTAGGCGATTACGTCATTTAGCGACTTTAAGGACAGCCAATCGCTACTTTCCTTACTGAGGAGTTGGCAACACTGCCGAGGCACTTTAGCTGCAGTTCAGACCTCTGTCTAATGCCGGGGTGATGCAACCAACTACTGTCTGTCATAGAATAGCCTATACAACAACAAGTCTAGCACTATCTTGTGTGCAATAAATGCCAGTTATTTCGTTATATTATGGACTCTCATGAGCCTATGACCATTTAGTTAGGCAGCTTTAGATGCAAACTAGACAGACATAACTAGTACGTTTGATATATCATAGGCTAAAAACATCATTATTTCAGAGGATTCCATTAATTAGATAACTTAGCCATACAGACCATATGATAGCCTCTTTACAATATAACTATACTGTAAGCTATATCCGCTCCAAGAACTGACCATACGTGCAGGTCAGCAAATTTAAGAAGGGCTTAGCTAATAACATTCACCCAGCTTGCTACAAAAGCGTTTTCCATCAAGCCGAGTCACTGGTCATTCAGCGCCACCGTTATGAAACACGCAGAGGTTCCTTTCTTGTGGCATTTTGTGTTATTGAGGTGCATGCCAAAATGTTAGATTATTATAGTCTATTATAGGTTACTAACCCAAAGTCCTATCCCGTTGCGCATTTGCCCAAAATGTTGTTTCTCCTTACCTCAACATAAGGAAATGGCGCATCGGATTGACCGATGTTTGAGACTGAGAAGAAGAGGGCTCCATCGGATGCGGCTAGCACCTTACCGTAGCCTGGCTTGAACGTCATTTTCGCAGCAAGGATAAATATAGGGGATTAAATAGCAGAAAAGTATACTTGGTAAAAATAATAACGATATCATCACCGTGTGCCTGATGACACTTGTGGTCTACATGAGTCCGTCTGCACCGGCAACAGCAGGCCACGCTGCGTCAAAGAACCACCTCCAGTCACCTACGTAATTTATTATAGAGGCACGCGCACCAATAAAACCCCCATTCATTACAAACAGCGTTCCACTGCAAATCTCTCGCAAATCCCATTCCATCCAAACGTAGGCTGTTTAGCTGCTGTATTTTCTGGTTCACATTCTACTGTAAATACTTTTAGTCTCAGCTCGGCGACAATACAGATCATTATTACGGTTAATGTGTAAACTCCAAATATTATGTCTAAGATAAGCAATAAACTATATCTGTCTCTTAAAATTGTAGGCTATTGCAAACATAATGTGATGTGATCTGAGTGGACTTTAAAGTTGCCATGACTGCCATGATGTGGCACTGTGAGTCAATATGGTCCTGGTCCTGGAATTTGAATAAGATTTTATGATCACTCAATTGGGTTGTTTTTTTCTCTCAAGTATTCTGTTCATAAAACATAAAACCTTCCAAAAAGAAATAAAATATTTGCATGACTATAGGTCAATTTAACCATGTCTCATGGATTGATCTCATTTACAAAGTTCTAACCTAAATGGTAACTCAAAGCATAGCCTACATAAACAAGATTGTATACACTTTTTAAAATGTCACAGGCATCATAAATACTGTTTGAAAATGACTTTAAGCTCCTTACCTGTTCTCTTGTGGGCTGGCCAAACACAGCACCTTAGTTTGTTTAGGAAAGATGGTCACTCATCCTGCCACTTTCAATATTCTACTCCCTCCCTTCTTTTTTTGCCTGCCTGCTGCCTGCCTGCCTGCCTGCCTGCCTGCCTGCCTGCCTGCCTGCCTGCCTGCCTGCCTGCCTGCCTGCCTGCCTGCCTCTCTCTCTCTCTCTCTCTCTCTCTCTCTCTCTCTCTCTCTCTCTCTCTCTCTCTCTCTCTCTCTCTCTCTCTCTCTCTCTCTCTCTCTCTTTCTCTCTCTCTCTCTCTCTCTCTCTCTCTCTCTCTCTCTCTCTCTCTCTCTCTCTCTCTCTCTCTCTCTCTCTCTCTCACACACACACTTCACACTATACAATTTTTTGGTATATTTTAACTTTTTTTAAGAGAACAGGAAGATCAAATTACATTTGACCTTTAGAGATGAAAGTTTGTATGAACTTACCCAGAGCAGTATTTTTCCACAGTGTTAAATGTCCTTGTGTGGAAGAAAATCCAGAGTAGGCCTACTGGATACACCAAAATGGTATAATTGTGTAATGACAGTTTGTAATGTATTTTCTATAGATTGAAAAGCTGTCCTGATACAATGTTTTTAGATAACAATAATGTGCCAGAGGCTGCATCGCACCCATATCGGTGCACACTCTCATCTTACAGTAAACAGCTATTGTTAACAGTAAACCCCTTTGGGAAGGACTAATTAGTTATTGACTTTCATAAACACATTGCTGTAACTGTGTGTTTTTGGCTACTGTAACCCTAATCACAACATTGCTTGAGACAATGACATTGCGTATGTTAATAGACATAGGAATAAGTACCAAAATGTGTCCACCATGTTATTCTAATCATTGTAATGTATTATCTATTCCACTAGATGAGGCTGCTGCATTACTAATTTCTTCACGTCTAAATAAGCTGCTATTTTGTTATCACTGGTAATCACAATGCGATATTGATTGAACATTTCTCGCATAAACATGTTTATAGATTGATACCAGTACAAGTCAAATCAGTTCTCAAGGCCAAAAGCAGGTCTCGACCCTAGAACTACTAACTCATAATGATATGAGACCATTGTGCAATAGTGTGGCTAAAGGTAAAGAGAAAAGTTGTGTAAGCAGATCTTTGTTGACAGGGTTTATGAGTGAACTCTGTGCTGGGGTCCAGACAGTTTGAGGTCTGGCTGGACTCTCACTTTGCATACTTACCAGATCATTCAAACTGCCTGACGATCGCTCAAACTGCCTGACGATTACCTCAACTACCTCAACTAGCCGGTGCCCCCGCACATTGACTCTGCAACGGTACCCCCCTGTATATATAGCCTCCCTACTGTCACTTTATTTTACTTCTGCTCTTTTTTTCTCAACACTTTTTTTGTTGTTGTTTTATTCTTACTTTTTTTGTTTAAAATAAATGCACTGTTGGTTAAGGGCTGTAAGTAAGCATTTCACTGTAATGTCTGCACCTGTTGTATTCGGCACATGTGACCAATACAATTTGATTTGATTTGATTTGATTTTGCACATATTACAGCCGCTCTTTCAGCCCCCATGGCCACTACTATCATAGACTCACAGAAGCCTTTCTCTCTGGACCACTACCATGTCTCTGAGGAATTTGGCTTCATCCTCCGTGCACCCCTGGTAGGTACAGACTCCTTATCTTATGGGATACCCATTGCATTTGTAATCGGTGACCGTCATTACTTGGTATTTGCTGAATCTCATTAGTTGTATGGCTGCTGCTTATAGGCATTATAGTTTTCCTGGAGAGCTACCCGTCTATAGGTTTTCGCTCCTACCCCAGTTGTTACTAATCTGATTCTGCATATCAACCAGTTACTGTAATGATTAGAATCAGCTGGCTATATTAGGGTTGGAGTGAAAACCTACAGGACTCTCCAGGAACAGGGTTGGAGAGCCCTGCTCTAGACTGCATTGGCGTTTGAATTTGGAGTGCAGATGAGAGCATTCCAATCCAGGACAATACCTTGACACTTTTCAATATGACTCAATACCCTAAAGGCAGAGCTGCCACCATACTACCAGCCCTGGATGGACATTGCCCAGCACGTTACAGAGCTCATCTATTCTCACACGTTGCGCTCCCACATTCTCAAGGTAAAGCTGTCTATGCTGTAAAACTCAGCTGATCTGTAAGTAACAAGGGGTCAAATAGAGGGGAATGCAATGGAATTACACCAGCTGGTTGAATTCTACCAACTTGGTTTGGAAGACATTAAACAGTGGAAATTAAATATATTTATAAGTTCAACAGCTTTTGGTGACAGTTCCACACTGTTAATAACAATGTGTGACTTCACATGTAAAGAGATGATGACAAAAGAGACATCTGGTTTGATTATGAAGATAATTAATTTCATTGATTCATTACATAGCCTGAAGCATTCAAATGTCTAACAAAGTAAAATGGGTAATGTGTAATATTTCAAGCATAGTGCATTAATAATGACCATCATTTGTACGTGATATACTGTAGTGTCAGCTCCATTCTTCTACTTACTCCCTCAGATGCCCCTGCTGAACACCCAATCCCTGGAGAGCCACAGAGAGCTGCGTCTGGCCCACTTGGCCCTGAGTGTGATGACCATGGGCTACGTGTGGCAGGAGGGGGAGCATGACACAGTCAAGGTTTCACACCAACCCTTCTTATTATGAATGTTCTGGACCTGGAGTGTGAAGAGAGACACATGTAACCTTTAGATTGTTTTGGAAAAAGGTTTCCTTCCATAATCACAGCAGGTGAAAAAATTGCTGAAAATATTTTCTGACTATAAATCAAAGGTCAAAATATCCAGCCACTTTTGCACCTTCAGGTTTGAGATCAAATCATCAAATCAAATGTTATAGGTCACATGCTATGGTAGAGTGGCCAGACGGAAGCCACTCCTCAGGAAAAGGCACATGACAGCCTGCTTGGAGTTTGCCAAAAGGCACCTAAAGGACTCTCAAACCATGAGAAACAAGATTCTCTGGTCTGATGAAACAAAGATTGAACTCTTTGGCCTGAATGCCAAGCATCACATCTAGAAGAAACCGGGCACCATCCCTACGGTGAAGCATGGTGGTGGTAGCATCATGCTGTGGGGATGTTTTTCAGCGGCAGGGACTTGGAGACTAGACAGGATCGAGTGAAAGATTAACTGAACCTGCTCCAGAGCGCTCAGGACCTCAGACTGGTGCGAAGGTTCACATTCCAACAGGACAACGACACTAAGCACAAAGCCAAGACAACACAGGAGTGGCTTCGGGACAAATCTCTGAATGTCCTTGAGTGGCCCAGCCAGAGCCCGGACTTGAATCCGATCGAACATCTCTGGAGAGACCTGAAAATAGCTGTGCAGCGACGCTCCCCATCCAACCTGATAGAGCTTGAGAGGATCTGCAGAGAAGAATGGGAGAAACTCCCCAAATACAGGTGTGACAAGCTTGTAGTGTCATACCCAAGAAGACTTGAGGCTGTAATCGTTGCCAAAGGTGCTTCAGCAAAGTATTGAGTCAAGAGGTCTGAATACTGATGTAAATGTGAATTTGCAAAAATTTCTAAAAACCTGTTTTTGCTTTGTCATTATGGGGTATTGTGTGTAGATTGATTTTAGGGTAAGGCTGTAACGTAACAAAATGTGGAAAAAGTCAAGGGGTATGAATACTTTCCGAATGCACTGTATAATAAACAGTAACAGCAGCATATGTGAAAGTGTGTCTATGTGTGGGTGTGTGTGTGGCGTCAAAATGCATGTGTGTGTGTGTGTGTGTTGGAGTGTCAGTGTAGTCTCTGTGAGTGTGTGGGTAGAGTCTAGTGAGTGTGCATACAGCATGTGCAAGGGAGGCAGTGCAAAACAATTACAATAAAGGAATAAATAATAAAGGGGGTCAATGTAAATAGTCCGGGTAGCCATTTGATTAACTGTTCAGCAGCCTTATGGCTTCGGGGTAGAAGCTGTTCAGGTGCCTTTTGGTCACAGACTTGGCGCGCCGGTACCGCTTGCTGTGCGGTTGTAGTGAGAACAGTCTATGACTTGGGTGACTGGAGTCTTTGACAATTTTTAGGGCCTTCCTCTGACACCGCCTGGTACAGGGGTCCTACATGGCAGGGAGTTCGGCCCCATGATGTACTGGGCCATACGCACTACCTTTTGTAGCGCCTTGCGGTCGGATGCCAAGCAGTTGCCATGTCAAGCGGTGATGCAGCCAGTCAAGATGCTCTCAATGGTGCAACTGTAGAACATTTTGAGGATCTGAGGGCCAATGCCAAATCTTTTCAGCCTTTTGAAGTGGAAGAGGCATTGTCGTGCCCTCTTCACAACTGTGTTGGTGTGTGTGGACCACGATAGATCCTTAGTGATGTGGACACCAAGGAACTTGAAGCTCTCGACCCGCTCTGCTACAGCCCGTCGATGTGAATGGGGCCGTGTTAAGCTCTCTGTTTCCTATAGTCCACGATAAGCTCCTTTGTCTTGCTGACGTTGAGGGAGAGCTTGTTGTCCTGGCACCATACTGCCAGGTCTCTGACCTCCTCCCTATAGGCTGTCTCTTCGTCATCAGTGATTAGGCCTACCACCGTCGTTGGACAAGTTAATGATGGTGTTGGAGTCGTGCGTGGCCACGCAGTCGTGGGTGAACAGGGAGAACAGGAAGGGACTGAGCATGCCCCCTGAGGGGCCCCCGTGTTGTGGGTCAGCGTGACGGATTTGTTGTTGTCTACCCTCTCCACCTGGGGGCGGCCCGTCAGGAAGTTCAGGATCCAGTTGCAGAGGGAGGTGTTCAGTCTCAGGGTCCTTAGCTTAGTGATGAGCTTGGAGGGCAATATGTAGTTGAATGCTGAGCTGTAGTCAATTAACAGCATTCTCACATAGGTGTTCCTTTGGTACTGGTGGGAAAGGGCAGTGTGGAGTGCAATAGAGATTGTGTCATCTGTGCGAATTGGAGATGGGTCCAGGGATACGAAGAGCAACAAATCATTACTGGATCCATACACATTAAGGACTTACTGTATGCACATTGGCTATCTGTAAACAAAACCCCAGTCATCATGCAATGCACTGCGAGTATCATCTGGTATATAACAGGAAGTCCCTCTGATATGAACTCTTATCTCTCATAAGATGCTGCCCCGCAACCTGGCCATTCCATACTGTGAGGTGTCTCAGCGCCTAGGACTTCCTCCCATCCTTACCCATGCAGACGCAGTACTGGCTAACTGGAAGAAGAGGGATCCACAGGGGTAAGAGTAGAATTCTCAAGAGTCTCCTGTTATGCTATTCTATTATTGTCTGTCAGAGATATTTAAGGAAAATTTGTTTCTTTTTCATGTCACCTCCTCATCTTCCGTACCAGACTGTTTGACATGGAGTAAGTATCGCCTTGAATAACTGATTCCAACAAGCTGTCTTTATAGATTCCACACATTCCAATAGTCTTTGGTTGTTAGCTAATGCAATTTGAAAATCTCATAAAATGTTTGCTGGAACTTTGACTTTTTTACCAGCTGTCATTGTGGTCATGGTGATACAGTGGCTTGCAAAAGTATTCACCCCCCTGCCATTTTTCCTATATTGTTGCCTTTCAACCTGGAATTAAAATTGATTTTTTGGGGGGTTGTATCATTTGATTTACACAACATGCCTACCACTTTGAAGATGCAAAATATTTTTTATTGTGAAACAAACAAGAAATAAGACAAAAAAACTGAAAACTTGAGCGTGCATAACTATTCACCCCCCCAAAGTCAATACTTTGTAGAGCCACCTTTTGCAGGAATTACAGCTGCAAGTCTCTTGTGGTATGTCTCTATAAGCTTGGCACATCTAGCCACTGGGATTTTTGCCCATTCTTCAAGGCAAAACTGCTCCAGCTCCTTCAAGTTGGATGGGTTCCGCTGGTGTACAGCAATCTTTAAGTCATACCACAGATTCTCAATTGGATTGAGGTCTGGGCTTTGACTAGGCCATTCCAAGACATTTAAATGTTTCCCACTCGAGTGTTGCTTTAGCAGTATGCTTAGGGTCATTGTCCTGCTGGAAGGTGAACCTCCGTCCCAATCTCAAATCTCTGGAAGACTGAAACAGGTTTCCCTCAAGAATTTCCCTGTATTTAGCGCCATCCTCATTCCTTCAATTCTGACCATTTCCCCAGTCCCTGCCGATGAAAAACATCCCCACAGCATGATGCTGCCACCAGCATGGATGGTGTTCTCGGGGTGATGAAAGGTGTTGGGTTTGCGCCAGACATAGCGTTTACAGTGGGGAAAAAAAGTATTTAGTCAGCCACCAATTGTGCAAGTTCTCCCACTTAAAAAGATGAGAGAGGCCTGTAATTTTCATCATAGGTACACGTCAACTATGACAGACAAATTGAGAAAAGAAAATCCAGAAAATCACATTGTAGGATTTTTAATGAATTTATTTGCAAATTATGGTGGAAAATAAGTATTTGGTCAATAACAAAAGTTTCTCAATACTTTGTTATACACCCTTTGTTGGCAATGACACAGGTCAAATGTTTTCTGTAAGTCTTCACAAGGTTTTCACAGACTGTTGCTGGTATTTTGGCCCATTCTTCCATGCAGATCTCCTCTAGAGCAGTGATGTTTTGGGGCTGTTGCTGGGCAACACAGACTTTCAACTCCCTCCAAAGATTTTCTATGGGGTTGAGATCTGGAGACTGGCTAGGCCACTCCAGGACCTTGAAATGCTTCTTACGAAGCCACTCCTTCGTTGCCCGGGCGGTGTGTTTGGGATCATTGTCATGCTGAAAGACCCAGCCACGTTTCATCTTCAATGCCCTTGCTGATGGAAGGAGGTTTTCACTCAAAATCTCACGATACTGTCAGGCGTGCTGTAGGTGTAATGGTGGAATCAAACGCAGGACTCAGAACGATATTCCCAAAGGCTTGTATTATAGGCCAAACTAAGGCAAAATGGAAACTTTGCCCGGAGGCAACAATTACGCACGAAGGCGAAAAGAAACTGCGCACAAACAGGTGCGACAAAATAGTAACCGCGCACAGACAGGTGCGACAAAATAGTAACCACGCATAAACAGGTGCGAAAATACTCCAGAGTAATGGAGAGAAGCTCAACCGAGCAATACACACAACTGACGGAAAATCAATTACACACAACACTAGACAAACACAACGAGAAACTTATAGGACACTAATTACGCCAAAACAGAAACAGGTGTGAAAACAAACAGACCAAAGCAAACGAACAAGAAACAAACAGCGGTGGCAGCTAGAATTCCGGAGACGACGAACGCCGAAACCTGCCCGAACAAGGGAGAGAGGCAGCCTCGGCCGAAACCGTGACAGTACCCCCCCCTTGACGCGCGGCTCCAGACATGCGCCGACTCCGGCCTCGGGGACGACCAGGAGGACGCGGAGCAGGGCGCGTCGGATGCCCCCGATGGAATTCCGTCAGGAGCGACGGGTCCAAAACGTCTCTCCTCGGCACCCAGCACCGCTCCTCCGGGCCGTACCCCTCCCACTCCACTAGATACTGGAGACCCCCCATCCGACGTCTCGAATCCAAGATGGATCTCACGGAGTACGCCGGTGCCCCCTCGATGTCCAACGGGGGCGGAGGAGTCTCCAAGATCTCATCTTCTTGGAGTGGGCCCGCTACCACCGGCCTGAGAAGGGACACATGGAACGAGGGGTTAATACACTTATACTCCACAGGTAACATTAACCTATAACATACCTCGTTCAACCTTCTCAGGACTTTAAATGGCCCTACAAACCGCCGACCCAGTTTCCGACAGGGCAGGCGGAGGGGCAGGTTTCTGGTAGAGAGCCAGACTCGATCACCAGGTGCGTACACCGGTGCCTCACTGCGGTGGAGATCAGCGCTCGCCTTCTGACGTCGGAGGGCCCGCTGCAGGTGGACGTGTGCAGCGTTCCAAGTCTCCTCCGAGCGCCGCGCCCACTCATCCACCGCAGGAGCCTCGATCTGGCTCTGCTGCCAGGGTGCCAGAACCGGCTGGTAACCTAACACACATTGAAATGGAGTTAGGTTAGTGGAGGAATGGCGTAGGGAATTCTGGGCCATCTCGGCCCAGGGAACGTACCTCGACCACTCCTCCGGCCGGTCCCGGCAGTATGTTCTGAGAAACCTACCCACATCCTGGTTTACGCGTTCCACCTGCCCATTACTCTCCGGGTGGTAACCCGAGGTGAGGCTTACCGAGACCCCCAACCGCTCCATAAACGCTCTCCAGACTCTGGAGGTGAATTGGGGACCCCGATCAGCCACAATGTCCTCGGGTACCCCGTAGTGCCGGAACACATGGGTAAACAGTGCCTCGGCAGTTTGTAGGGCAGTAGGAAGACCCGGCATGGGGAGCAAACGACAGGCCTTAGAGAACCGGTCCACCACGACCAGGATGGTAGTATTCCCTTGGGAGAGGGGAAGGTCTGTTATAAAGTCCACTGAGAGGTGGGACCATGGTCGTTGTGGAACGGGCAGGGGTAGCAACTTACCCCTAGGTAGATGTCTAGGCGCCTTACACTGGGCGCACACCGAGCAGGAGGAAACATAAACCCTCACATCCCTTGCCAACGTGGGCCACCAGTACTTGGCACTAAGACAGTGCACTGTCCGGCCGATACCCGGATGTCCAGAGGAGGGTGACGTGTGAGCCCAATAGATCAATCGATCCCGAACCTCGAGCGGAACGTACTTCCGACCCTCCGGGCACTGTGGTGGACTAGGGTCGGTGCGTAACGCCCGCTCGAGTTCAGAATCGACCTCCCACACTACCGGTGCCACCAGACACGACTCAGGCAGTATGGGAGTGGGCTCCATGGACCTCTCCTCCGTGTCATACCGCCGAAACAGCGCATCTGCCTTGCCATTCTGTGACCCAGGGATGTACGTGATCTTAAAAGTAAACCTGGTCAAGAACATACTCCATCTTGCCTGGCGAGGGTTCAGCCTCCTCGCCGCCCGGATGTACTCCAGGTTACGGTGGTCCGTCAAAATGAGGAAAGGGTGTTGAGCCCCCTCAAGCCAGTGCCTCCACACCTTTAGAGCCTGTACCACGGCTAACAGCTCCCTGTCCCCTACGTCATAGTTCCGCTCCGCCGGACTGAGCTTCTTGGAATAAAAAGCACAGGGGCGGAGTTTAGGTGGCGCGCCAGACCGTTGTGAAAGCACGGCTCCTAAACCGGCCTCCGACGCGTCCACCTCTACCTGGAACGGCAAAGAGGGATCCGGATGCGCCAGCACCGGGGCCGAGGTAAACAGGTCCTTCAGCCTCCCAAACGCCCTGTCCGCCTCGGCCGACCACTGCAGACGCACCGGACCCCCCTTCAACAGAGACGTGATGGGAGCTGCCACCTGTCCAAAACCCCGGATAAACCTCCTGTAGTAATTTGCAAACCCCAAAAACTGCTGCACCTCCTTCACAGTAGTTGGTGTTTGCCAATTACGCACGGCCGACACCCGGTCTACCTCCATCTTCACCCCTGACGCAGACAACTGATAACCCAAAAAGGAGACCGACTCCTGGAAAAACAGACACTTCTCTGCCTTCGCATACAGGTTGTGCTCCACCAGCCTCCGCAACACTCTTCGCACCAGGGCCACATGCTCGACACGGGTAGGCGAGTACACGAGAATGTCATCAATGTACACCACCACTCCCTGCCCCTGCATGTCCCTGAAGATCTCATCCACGAATGATTGGAAAACTGACGGAGCGTTCATCAACCCGTATGGCATGACCAGATACTCGTAATGGCCCGAGGTGGTACTAAAGGCTGTTTTCCATTCATCACCCTCCCTGATGCGCACCAAGTTGTACGCGCTCCTGAGATCTAATTTCGTGAAGAAACGCGCCCCATGCAACGACTCAGTCATGGTCGCAATCAGCGGGAGTGGATAACTATACTTCACCGTAATCTGATTGAGACCACGGTAATCGATGCACGGACGCAAACCACCATCCTTTTTCTTCACGAAAAAGAAACTCGAGGACGCGGGGGAAGTGGAAGGCCGTATGTATCCTTGTCTCAGAGATTCGTCTATGTAAATCTCCATAGCTTTCTTCTCCTCCTGAGACAGAGGATACACATGGCTCCGTGGGAGCGCAGCTCCTGCCTGGAGGTCTATCGCACAATCCCCCTGCCTATGGGGTGGCAACCGCGTCGCCCTCGCCTTACTAAACGCAATAGCCAAATCCCCATATTCAGGTGGAACGGGCAATGCGGGCACCTGGT